TGGGGCAGCCAAGCCTCACTTCAAGTCAAATGTCACACCTTTTGACCACTGGTTTTCATCAGGGTGGACGGAATTGATGAGGACGGGTGTATCATCAATTTCACTTGGGTCCTCAACTGGGCGCCTTTGACAAAGACTGGTGTTGTATAAAGAAAAGCTACCAATTCTGTCCTATTCTTTGGGGAGGCCTTGGAGCTATGTTGGTCACCTCTCACATGTGGTTTGCTTGGAAAAGGGCAGAAGGCAAAATCACCCAGCCCCTTGCGTACGCTGGGCCAACAAGAATGCCCACAGTGAATGTTGCAATGCTTTCGGGGCCATGGATTTAAAGAGGGGTGTGTGCCGTTTTGGAACCCGGGGACGTTATTTTGCACGTCGGGAAGGGTGTTCAAGCCTAATAAAACGCTTGAAAGCTCATGAAACCAAATTGTTTGTTTTGGGGGGTGTCCCTATTTTTCATGGCTGGCATGTTTGGTTTAGTTTTGTCTTGCTTGTGTTGGTTGCTTGTTTCTTTTCGTGGTCAGTCGGTCGAGCGGTTGGTTCGTGGGTGCTTTGTCGCTGGTTATTTTTCTTGGCTAACTTTGTTGAACTCTTTCCGGGGTACAAGTAAGATTCGGGCAGTGGGTGACCCCCGAACTCTCTATTCATGTCTCAGTTTTCCTTCGTGGGGAGGACCGAGTAGTTTCAATGGAACTGGGTAGCGGATGTCCGCAGTCGGTGTTTTGGGGGAGGTTGGGGTTGAGGGTTGTCACATGTGCCCCAAGACCCAGCTTCATCACCAGACACTAAGACAGCTGAGCCAACGTACACCGCGCTCAGTCAAAGCTGCCAAAGCGGCCAAGCGCCAGATTCGTTCTAAGAGTCAGAGTGGGAGCCCAGCAGTGGTTGCGAAGCAACCAGTTTGCACAAAACATGTTGTCAGTAGGATCGCTCGCCTGAAGCCTCGGAATATTTCCTGAGTTGGCTGCGGCGAGCCCACTGCTGGCTAGCCAAGCCCAAGCACACGTCTTTGCCTCAGCCTAGGTTATGGCGTCAAGTGTCCCACCCTGGTTTGACACAAAGCGTTTTGCTTGGAACAAGACAGTTTGAACATGCTCAGGGTCATTTGTTCTCGGCTCGCAGAAGAGCTTGTGCGGTAAGGCATACGGAGTGCCAGATTGGGGCTACAGCCCCTTTTGCAATGCGACCTTCGGGTGCATTGCATGATACGCAACTGGTCACCGCTTAACACCTTCCACCCTCTATACATTTGGGTTTGAGCGGTTCATGCGATGAGGCGGAACTACTACCAGCTCATGAAGCTCCCTATGGATGCTTCCAAAGATGACATCAGGAGCGCACGGAGCCAACAAGACTGCTCTAGGTAGCTGTTCAGCTTAAGTTGCACAAGTGGCTGTCCAGAGCTGGCTGTGCCATGAGGTGCTTTGGTCATGTAACAGAGGTATGCAGGTCAGTCAACGCCCTCTTGCATAATCCCGTTTTGCCCAGCATGAGGCAGCGTCTCCCTTGCCAGAATTTGTTTTTTTGAAGAGATTGTGCTTGAAGGTATCCGGAGCAGCACTTCTGGAGTTCACGTCCATTGCTATACGCATCTCTCGACATCTGAAAGTCTTGCAGTCAAGGCCCCACCTTTCAGCTCCCCTATAGACTGAAACCACTCGCAAGTGACCCTTTCACGCGAGAAACGGTGTGCAGGAAGCAGTACCGACGGCTTTGCCTGTCAGCGCCCTGGAGGGATGACATCAAATGGCAACGGCTTTTGCCAACTCTCGTTGCAGATGATAGATGTGACAGGCCTGATATCTTGTTGCTCACTGTAGGGTGGCTGTGATTGGCTGGCTGCTGTAATGTGCAGTTTCATAGTACGCGTGTTTCTTGAAATACGAGGCTGCCCTTCAGGGAATCCATGGAAGTTTGCAGAGGTTTGCCCTTTAGTCATGGGTGCCAAATTTATTTCTGGCGTACGCCAGTTGGATCTCCCTTGTACTGGGCTGGCAGTCCTTCCCTCAGGCTTTGGCACCCGGACAAGTCCGATGGCTCCGATCGACAGCGGTTCGAGGAGCTGCAAGCGGCCCACAGGCGATCCGAGCTTTCAGCTTCTCAGAGGTTTCAAGTTTCGCCTCGTCGGACCCAAGGATTGTAACCGAGCGTAAGGCATGGGCTGGGATGTTTAACTGACAGTGCTCCTAGCCAAGCTCGCGAGAAACTCAGAAAGAGGTCCCGCCACTGCTTACTGCGATCATGTTCGCAATCAGGTGGTACTTGCTCGATAGAACGTTTCAACTATGTGGCATGTTTTTCTGTTTGATGTTTCCCATCACAATAAGTTCCCCCAATGATCTACATCTTTGAATATTATATATATGATGTATATTCAAAGCCAAAATGTGCTCAGGGTATGTTTCCGTTTGTGAGATTTGGAATCAGGCGCAAACTGCTAATTGCCAACTTGTACGCCTGAATCAGATTTGATCATTTAAGATCGAAATCGTGTTGGAGAGCTCCTTAGTAAATCGGAGTCCGGAGTTGAACAGCGGCTGGCAAAAGTGACATGTACGTACGTTATATTTGTCTAGGGTTCGTGATGGCTCATAACACTGTACTTCCCTAGCTGGCACTGGCATCTCTCGATGTGTCTCGCAACTTGCGAGTTGAGGTAGGTGAACTTTATTTTTCATTTTTTGTTCCGAAAGGGCGTGGGTTTAAGGTCGAGGGTTTAATCAACCAAATATTTATGGTGCTCCTTTGAGCTTCCAAGAGGTTCCCAAGAGCACGTGTTTGATGGCACCAGCGGCGCGTGGTGTGGATTTGACCAGTATATCTACCCAGCATTTTTTCTGCACAGCTTGCCAGTCTCCTGGGAGTCTCCTCGGAGTCTCCTGGGAGTCCATGGGAGCCCATGCTGTCGGACAGGTTTCTAACGGACGACCCCCAAAAGGAAGAGTATGACTTCGGCATTTGGAAGGATCGACCGGCCAGAATCTCAGCGGAACGGATGTTGGTGTTCCAGGAGTTGTTGATCTGGGCCAGTGGAAGGGAAGCAGAGGCAGGCAAGGTCATACAAGGCAGGCAGCTGATTTGGCAAAAATGTCTTGCACATGCGAAATGCGATTCATTACCATCCCGTGCCCCGAGCTTCATCCAGAGCTTATGGAAGTGAGCAGTCAGGTCATCAAGGAAGGGCAGAATTCGGCTTGCGACAGTAAAGGGCACCGAATGGCCGAAGGTCCGGCACCACACCAAGAAGCGCGACAAAGTGCAGCTGGGCGCAGCACTGTCACAGCATGATCTAAGCGAATGTAAGTACATGTGTTTGTGTTGGTTACTTCCTAACCAAGACTCCATAAACCCTGAATAAGCAAATGCAGAAGCAAAGAGAAAAGAACCGTGTGGGAGACATGTCATTTGTGGGTAGTTCAATAATTTGCTCAGATATTTTGAGCAGTGCTAGAACAAGAGGATGCTTACCTCTTGCAAGTTGTTGGAGAGGGCGTTCATGCGGACAGGTCACACTTGCTTACAACACGCCTTCGTTGGAAACAAGTGCAATCAGCCCATAAATTCACGGCAAACGTGTACCACAGAGAGCCTGATAGTTCATGCATGGACTCATCACTCAGACACTTAGCCATGCTTATGCACACATAATCACGGACCGTTCACCATAGTGTTCATGCAGGGGACAATCAGCCATAGGTCCCCAGTGATAGCGTCCACGTGATGCCGATCCTTTGGTTGCTACGTGTGCCTGGCTAATCTGAGGAAAGACTCTTGGAATGAAGACAAAGTTAAGGAGGAGGCTGCAGATACCACACCTCGGCATCACTACAATTGGGGAGACAGGCAAGGCTGCACTGATTCCAGCAGGGATGTAGATATTGAATGCTGATCAACATGCCGACCAACATGCCATACATGTACTCGATAGCACTGGGACACTATAGTCAAGTCCTGCGTTGCGGCACAGGTTCAAGCACGGTTGAATGAGTCGCGACTTGCCAGTTCACCAATTGTTTGCGGGTTGAGTGATTGTGCAGGCACTTGATCGAAGACGAGAAGGTGTGGACACATATCTCAGCCGTTTGCAGCTAGTTTGATCTTATAGTTCAAGGTGTAGCGTAAGAATGTGTGTTTCTACTTGATGTTGTCTGGCTGGAAGTCGTTTTCAGGGAGACGCCTGTGGGATTTGTGTTCGAATCATGGGTTACCTGCTCCGGGCCCAGTTTCAGCTTCACACTACACAAATCCGCCTACACTTTTTCGCCCTTTCCTGGCTGGTTTTAATTGTAGCTGGCAAGCTAGCTGGCACGTGACTGTGTGTTTACTCAAGGAAGTGTATCCCAAGCTCGTGTGTTGCTGCGGCGATTGGTGGTGTTTTGGATTGTTGCCATTTCGAAGCGTTTGTTTTCATTGGACTGGGCCGTCCCTTGCAGCACACTGCCGGAGGTGGAGAGCATCTACTGGGGCGAGGCAGGCTGCCGGGAGCCTTGGGTGGCGGTTCCTGAGCGGGCTACTGTGGGCTACTGCATTGGTGTTCATTGAAACCCGGGAATTAGTTTGGCAAGGCCGTGCTATTCCCTGCCAAGCCTACCCTGGGCTAGGAGCTTTCAGGGCCCCTTGGCCCTTTGCAACACTGGTTTTGAGCTTCCATGGAATGTTGGGCAATTATGTGGGAATCAACAATCGGCTTTCTTTGCACAGACTCGAGCCAAGGCTTTGCCTGGACAAGCAACAACGACACACCAACTCGTTTGCATACGTGCACCACTGTCATGGCCTTTCAGGACGTGTATCCGGAAGTGAAATCTGACGTGTTCATCCCTTCTAAACGGCGATTCAGGTCCTGCGTGGCTCAAGGAGAAGCGAAAGGAGTTCCAGAAGAAGCAGTTTGGGCAGGAGATGGCACGGATGCTGGGTGGGATGTGTTGTCAATTCTGCATACTGCTTTTGTCACTAGGCGGCCTGTGGTTTGCTAGGAAGAAAGGAAGTGGTTGGTGAGGCATTATGCCCCGGCAAAGAAATGGAGACATGGTGGATGCTGCAGATCTTGCCTTTCAGGCATGTTCAGGCTTAAGGTGGGGGGTGATCAACATCTGTGGGCTCGATGGACTGCAATTCTTCAAAGGTTTCAGGGAGAGGCGTGCCAATCACCCTTTGCTAGAAAAGCGCACGCTCAGGGTGACCTGTTCTGTTTAAGAAAGGGGGGGCACTGCGGCCTGCAGGACTATGTGGCACCTTGAGGCGGACAAAGAAACCGTTGTGCGACGTGGGCAGATGCAAAAAGGGGCGTGGGAGCTGGCAGGAAATGAAAGACAGCAGTGCACACCTGTCTCCCATCTTGCCAGGCTTTCCTAGAAGCATCGCAAGCGGAGAACTTGGTTTCCTACAAGCGATCACCGCTATCACCAAAAACCTGGCAAAACATACAACATACAATGCCCAGCTTCGGAACCGCCCTGTCTTTCCAGCGTGCGTTCGCTCACCCCTTTTCGGCTCAACATGCTCAACCATGGCCAGCTGCAGCTCTGCCAAGATGCAGCTTGGCTATCCAGCGCCTGGCGAGTTTCGCGTACTGGGTGCCTGGCTTGCGAGTAGCAGCTGCACAAAGCAACGTCTCAATGTTGAGCAACTGTCTCGTTCAGGGATGACGTGCTTCAACGGGCATGGGTTCTGCAGACGTGCGGGGTGGTTTCAATCTGAGGGACAATGATTTCAACCAAACCAATGGTTTTCTGGTTTGATTGCTGAAGCAACAAGTATTTTACGAGCGGTTCCTGAATGTTGATTCCTTGCGGACCTTGCTCAGGCTGTGGCAGGTGTTGCTCCTGACCCTTTGGGGGGCTCAGGCACGGCGAGTGCATTGCAGTTGCTGGCTTGCGTAGGGGCCAGTTGGGCCAGCAGTGGTTCTGCACACTTTGGATTCTTTGGAGGTATGAGTCGGTATGAGTTGTTCGCTTAAGCCTTTGCGGTCGCGTGGGCAGAAGCTTTCGTCGTCTCGTTTGGAGATCCTTGATGCCCGCTTGGTGAAGTTTTTGAAGTTTGCGGTGCTGCTCAACTTGTGCATATAGGGTCATTAGATTATCTACACTTCTCACACACACACACACACACGAGCCACGATTTCTCGGACAGCCGTTCTTGGAGGTTCTTGGGGCCGGGGCACTGCTATTCAATGGATTCAATGAACCTACGATGCCGGTCGTCGCAATACGTTGGCGGTGACTAGCGCGGTGACTCCGGGGACTTCTCACGGGCACTGCTCCACTTTCGCCAGGCCAGATTCAACGAAGGAGGCGATGGTGCCTCGTTGGTGGCGCTCAGTGCCAAGGAGAGCAGGGCAGCTGGAATTCGGCTTCCGTGGTTTTAGCGTGTTTCACGATGGATGCTTCTTGTGCCAATGCGTTGCACTGCCCATGTCGAGAGTTGATGTCACTTCCGGTGCCAAACACTCATTGCTCGTTTGGCAATGCCGAACGTGTTGTGTGCTTTGATGCTTCACGTCTCCTTTGAAAGTGCTTAAAATGAGCCAACCCGAAGCAATGCGCTTGGAGATGGTCATGGGATAAGTGGATAAGTGTGCACTTGAAAGGGCCCTCCAGCGAAATCAAATGTACGTATGTATGTACCTATAGACATTGTAGAGATGCACGGTATTTACATAAACAGTGCAATTATGCAATTATGTGCACCTATTGTCATTTGCTTGCATTAGGGTGTATTCAGGATGTGCAGGTGTGCTGGCAGGGCCCATGAAATAACGTGTTAACTAGCCTTCGAAAACATGCCCCACCACTTTAGAGCTCACACATGTGAGCATTTCCAGAAATCAGAATATAGTGTGCTGGCGTGGGGTATCCAAGTTCCATGTTAATTGGTTGAGGAAACAGGGAAAGTCCTGCTTCACAGCTAACGTGGAACAGTCGTAAGTTGCCAAAAGCCACCAAGCCAACCCTAACTCGGAAGTTGGTCAGTGAACCTGGGATTCCTGGGGCATTGGTCCATTTCGGTTCCACCACGTTAAGCGTTGTGATTTTGCTTCATGCTTCTACTTGAATTCAATCTCTTCCAGTTTGGTTCCACATTATCTCGCGGTTTAAATCCACGTGCTTCCATGTTGGCTGGTGGGAGTGTATCACCTAGCCAGACATGCTTAATGTTTACTTGGCTTGTCCCTGATTGGAGGCAGCCGCAGAATAGCAAGGACCACAGGTATCGCCAGGGACTGTACAGAAACGGTGCTTATCAGCATGGCGTGGCCTTTTTCGCTCTCATTGACAGCTCAGTTCTCAAGACCACAGTAGACCGAAAGCCTTGGCCGCTAGATCTGGTTAAGCTCACATCAGACTTTACAGATGCTGAATCGGGGAACTTGGTGATTCGTCGGCGAGCTGCTTAAGTAAGCAGATGTTTGGTCCGTGTTTCCACAAGCTTCTCTCAGCTTTCCCAGTTTTCCCGGGCTCAGGAGGCATCGAGGTTAGCTGCCCGGAGCCTCAGCAGCTGCAGTTGAGTCACTAACCTCACGGCGCAGCTTCACCGACGTTTGAGGCGACAAGCACGACAGGGGTAAACACCTGGATAGGAGACAAATAAAGCTGAAACTCTCCAGTTACCTGGCAGCTTGACAACTTAGGATATAGAGGAGATGTGACTGTGAGCCTCATGTTGGTGTTTGTATGTTGGACACTGGCCAGATGACCTCGCAGCACAAATTTACCGGCCATCCTTCTGCATCCCAAGGCTACTCAGCAGAGGCTCGCGGATGCCTCAGTACAGCGCAAGGCCAGGGAAGCAGGGTTGCGGGACCTTGTGTGGCATGTCATGCCTGTTTGTTTCCGATTTCCTTCGATCCAGTCGAAGGAGCGTGGACACTTGGTTTCTCGTACGGTTAGTGCATGTGTCAGCTTCGACTCGCCAGCATGCTGCTTGTTGCGTTGTTAGCCTTCCTCTCTTGTCTTGTGTTCACCCGCATCTCGCAACTTTGGGCTGGACTATATTGGTGACTCATGGTGGCAGATGTTGAAGCAGGTTCTGGGACCGTGATTCAGCGCCCGATGCAGGAGGCAGAGGCAAAGCTGCAGGAGGCGACCGCGGAGCTGGCGCAGCTTCGCAGGCGGCTGCAGGCCCGGCGGATTCCATGGGGCGCCAGGGCCAGGCCGAAAAATTCGCCGAAATTGGGTGTGGGTTGGGATCCCATTTTGGTTGGTAGGTGAATTCACCGCCCAATGTTCACTGGGGTTACGGGATTTGGACCCATGGCGCGAACTCACCCTTGATCAACTGTGGATTGGTCATGTTTAGAGGTTGATTGGGGAAGTCACAGGATGCCAAGAGGATACGAACCGATTGGAAGGGCCTGAACTTTGATGTCCGCAATAAACAGGCTCTAAATACTAATCGTGCCACCTGCCCCTATTTTGTATACAATGCCAAGGCCCCGATAGTCTGACTCAGCTCCCCTCCCTCTATCTACTGCTAGTGATGCCTCACCAGCCAGCTGCTTTCAAGAAATTATGGTGCAAATGATTCAACTGTATCCAACACAGAAGCAAACTAACCCGGTCGCAGAGAAAGCAGGAATGCTGTGCTGTCACTAGCATTTCTAGAATATTGCCCTTCCCCTGTCACGAGGCCTTCCCTCAACAGTGGCCATCACCTAACCGGTGCAACTACACAGCATCGAAGCACATTCCCGAGCAACAAAACAAACGAGCCCGCATGCCGTTGACATGCAATACAAACCACGGCATCCAAAGACGGAAAAGATTGCCAGCATCATGAATGACTGTGCTCAGTTGCACTGCCAAGTGCAAAGTATCAATCAACGCATGCGTTTTCGCAATTGTTGTAAGAGCTGCGACCCAGAATCCAGAATCGTGTGGCTGCCAATAGATTTATCAGGCCTCCTTGCACAATGCGCTACCCCAAGGCATCCCCCACACTATGCGAGGGCAGGGGTGGTCCTCTTCAGCCTTGTTCGCAAAGTACGTCGCCCCCGTAACAGTGTAGGACTTCAATTGGAGACATGCCAAACTCGTCCCAAAGGGCCCAAAAGGAACCGCCTCCCACAGACGCATCGCGCGCCAGGACTTGAGGCAGTCCACGAGGCAAACGCAGCAGAACGGTACCCTGGATGCAAGGCTGTCGCGGTGGTTTCTTCATTTTGAGTTGAAGAGGTATTTTCTCCATGAGGGGCTTTTGAGGAGCTATATTTTTTGTGCAGTGGCGGTGCAGGAATCCAGGTTCCCCGCTGCATTTTGCAGCAACTGGGCGCTGAAGTGAACGATGTTTCCCTCGTGCGGGCCTGCCCTTGCTCAGATGGCAATGTCGCAATAAGCATGCAGCCGCTGCACTGCTGCGACTCCGGATAGGCATTGGCTTGGTTGACGCAAAGGCGATGGCCCTTTTGTCGCTGGAAGGCACAAGCTGCTGCATATCAAGGTCGCTGTATCCAATCGGTAGCGGAGTGCGTGGGCGGGAACATGTGGGAGTGTGCTCACAACCACTAACGCAAGCCACCAACTCCAAAAACGCTGATGCTATACCCTTTCCACAACACACACACACATGCAACAGCTGGGGCAAATAATCACCAGGTCAGAAGTCAGCGCGGTAGCCGAATGAGATGTGTGTTGCACCGAAGGCCAACTCGATCTCGGATTTGAGGTGAGAAGCGGGGCAGGGCCCTCTCCGGTACCTTCAGCATGCTGCGTGGGCCAGTGCAAGGTGAAGCACAGCACCAAGCTCAGTGTCGCAAACTAATGACCTTGCCCGAAGGTCACAATTGAGAGCCTGAACTACTTGTTTGCTCAAGCATAGATGGAGCAGTTGGGATCGACTGGGCCTGGGGAAATCAGGCTGGCTGTTGAGACTTTCATGTGATGCTACCTTCAGGTCGGAAGGCGTCGCCAGCTCACAGGCGGGCAATGCGCAATGAATTGCTCGTTTGGGAGACCAGGCTCACGAGTTTAGAGGCGTTGCTCCTTGGATTGCTTTGAAAGCTTGTGACTTGTACGCAGTGCCCGGAGGCGCAGCTGACGCTGGAGTCGAGCGGGCACAGCACCGCAAGGCCGGGGCTGTCGAACTCACAAGGACAACATGCTTTGCTCCTCTGCTGATGCAAAAAAAGAAGCCCACGGCGTTCAGATATTATGTTTGCAACAATTTGGGAAGGGGCTGCTGCCGGGCAAATGTAAGGTTATCAAGCGGGAGCCCGCAGACATCTTCACATGGGCCCCAAAACCAGGGTTCCTGAAAAGGCACACGGGCCATGTCGCAGTCCACTCGCAACGTTTAACTGTCAAAATCTAGGGACCCCTTTCCGGAAACAAGCATGCAACAGGGAGCCCCAGTTCTAGACATACTTGCGTTTGGCTTCTGTGAATTTGGACTGCTCGAAGGTCCCTGGCAGCTGGTGAAGAGGTGCAGAAGGAGGAAGCCGACCCTCTCCCATCCAGTCATGTTGTTGGTAAAGCATGGTAAATAAACGGCAAATTCCCATCGTTCGCCCGGCTGCTCACCGACGACTGCCCCGCTGCCCCCGCCCCTAAACCCGAAGCCCTAAACCCTAAACCTAAACCCTAGACCCTAAACCAGAAACCCAAACCATAAACTGTGCTGGGGGGGTCCTCGCAGCTGTAGCTCGATGCGTCCACACGCAAGTGGCTTGCAAGCATGCGAGCCGACACCCCTGGCAGCCCAGCCTGGTTGCTCTTGGGCTAACGACGGGCGTTGAAGGTAAATAAAGCAATGTGCCGGAGTGGCTGGATGCAGTACTTGCATGCTGGGTATTTGCCAAGGCGAAGTTGCCTGCATCGCACCAATAGATACATGCGGCAAAGTGGTCGGCACAACATGAACTATGAAATCGTGTCACACAGGTCCTCTGTGTTTCTTCCTAAGCTAGCAATCAAGCTTTGTGGATTCATGTTTCAAGCAGTCTGCCATAGTTTGTCAAGAAGGGCAAGCCTTTCAATACCTTCACTGTTCTTTGAGCCATGACCAGATCAAGATGAGACAATCAATGCGATATTTTAACGCCTCCGGCTCAGACCGCCGACATTACAGGCCTGCTCCCCCCCTAAGATCTATTTTCCTTTCCCCCCCAAGATCTATTTCCCTTTTCCCCCCCTAAGATCTTTTCCCCTTTCCCCCCTAGGATCGTTCCCCCCTTTTCCCCCCAAGATTGTTTCCCCCCTTTCCCGCCCTAAAATCTTTTCCCCTTCCCTTGTGTTGCTTTTTGCTTCACTATTGACCTTTCCACCACCGTTGTATTTGGCTTAAGGCCCTCTTTTCACACTCATCATGTACTGAGCATCCTGCAGCACAAGGAAAAGGAGCTAAAGCGGACCGTCTCCAGTGTATAACAGTGGAACCCACAGTGTGACCAGGGACATCCAGATCAACTCCATCCAACATTGGCATATTTGGATACTCCTGACCACCAAAGACTCTCAACTACCACAAGGTACCGGCTCCTACAGGATAAGGTACCCCGGTTTGGGACTCAATGTTGGTAGCGGAGCAGGTATTCGAAGAGATCCACTCAAGATGTCATCCGATGGAGAAGGCTTCATGGAGGCTTATTCAAGCGCAGGCCGACCAACAGGCTTCAGTGAAGAGACACTCAATTTATCGATGACAGCCAGGCAGCCGCCATCGCGCGACGGAAAAGCCAGCTGGCTCAGATATAAAGAACTTGTAGATGGTTGGACAACATTCACCACGATCGAAGCATCCAAGAGAGGACCTCTCCTCAAGAGCAGACTCATGGGAGAAGCTTACATGTACAAGGAAGTTCTCGACAACGAATTGCTTCAAGATTCCACCAAAGGAGTCAACCAACTCAAATCACGCTGAGGAAGTTTTTCCTGAAGGGTAATTACAACTTCGATCACCGTCGACAAACACGGAGTTCCTCAGTCACCAAAGCATGGCACATCCGTACAGGAAGCGAACCACAGAACAATTGCTTGACATCAACCGCTGGTGCTGGATTTCCCCTCAGTGACAACCTCATTGCACAATTTTTCGTAAGCCAGAGTGAGTTGTCAGATCTGCAGAGAGAAAGACTGATCAGCGCAATGTCTTTGATCAGGCGCAACGAACCCGCAAGTAGTGGTTTCAATTGGTGGCTGGGGATTCAGACTTCCTCTTCAAGCCAGGTGGGAAGGTCCAAATTGTGGGCCTGCCTTGGAACCTTTTCCCTGACAGCTGGTCTTGGCACCGGTCGTCCGTGGACGGTCAAGGACAAGTTCAGCTTGCACACTCCGCCGCCCGTTCAAGTGCAGCGACGTTGACAGCGGCAATGGTGTCCTCTGACTGACTCTCGCTGGTCCAAGAAACATGAGCAGCGCCTTGCAGTCTGTGGCTTGGGTCAAAGTTGAAATTTAGCGCGATGGAAGCGGCGGAGCGGATGTTAGGGGGTTAGGCTTAGGGGGGAGGGGGAACAGATCTTAGGGAGGGAAAGGCGGAAAAGATCTTAGGGGGGGTTAGGGGGGGAGAGGGGGCAAGATCTTAGGGGGGGAAAGGGGGGAAAAGATCTTATGGGGGAAAGGAGGAAAAGATCTTAGGGGGGGAAAGGGGGGAACAGATCTTAGGCAAGGAAGGGGGAAAGATCTCGGACGGGAAAGGGGGGAAAAGATCTTAGGGGGGAAAGGGGGGAAAGATGGAAGGGGGGGAACAGATCTTGGGGCGGAAAGGGGGAAAGATCTTGGGGGGAAAATGTAGGACAGGATCTTAGTGGGGGAAAGGTAAGCCATTAAGATGTCCCTTCATTTCCCTTCACTCCCCCCTTCATGTCCCTTCATGTTCCTGTTTCCTTTTATTGTCCTGTTTTGCCCTTCATTTCACTTCATGTCCCTCATTTCCATGCATTTCCCTTCATTTCCCTACATTTGGCAACATCCCCAGCATCACCTACATCATCCGCACCAATGTCTGCCGAGGATGCGGATGGTGCAGGTGATGTTGGCGATAGTCTGAAACCGTACTTGCGGGGAGGGGTAAGGGGTAAGGGGCGAGTCAGGAAACAGAGTCAAGAAACAGGTTGGACGAAGTCAGGAAACGGGTGGGTCCAAGTCAAGAAACAGGTTGGGTCGTGTCAAGAAATATGCTTCCTTGTAGACGCCGAGAAACTAAGCCTAAACCCTAAGCCCTAAAACCTAAACCTAACATTAAGAACCCTAAACCTAAACGCTGAGAACCCTAAACCTGAGCCCTAAAAGCACAAAAAACCTAAACCTGAAAAACCAAAACCCAAACCCTCCAAACACAAACCTAACCCTAAACCTAAACCCAAAACCCTAAACCTAAACCAACAAACGCAAGCCTTTGATTGACCTGGACCAAGATGACATCAAGGCACAATGCACAAAGCAAACGGCAAAGAACAAAGCATGCAGTGGCTTCTGCATCCCCTTCGCATTGCGGCCAGCATCACGCATGTCTTTTCACGCCTCCCCTCTCCCCTGATTCGAACAGCTTTGCACGCCAGGTTGTTCCTTGATCCGAGCCATGAAGATATCAAGGAACGATGCACGAAGCACGCGTCAAAGCGCAAAGCACGCGGTGCCAGACTTGCATCCCAGCATCACCGTCAATTCAAAAGCGCTGACTACATCATCCTGACTTACGTTGCCGCGTTTCCTGACTCACTTTTGCAGGTGTGATCTAAATATTGATCACTTTTATTTTTGACTTGCCTCCAGTTGTTTCTTGACTCGCCCCTGTCCATTTCTTGACTCATGTTTCCTCACACGGTCATCTGTTTCCTGGCTCGGGCTAGGGAGCGGTAGCAGGCAAAGAATGTAACTCAAAGCCCATCGAAGCCATGCCCCAGAGTGGCCTAGCTTCCATGCTCAGAACTCTCAGTCAGTGAAATGGGGTGACGCCGGCGGGATTGTTCAAGGGACTGCTGTTCTTGTTTGATTTTTCAGGGCATGTTGTGTTGGTGGTTGGGCAACTTCAGCAAATGTGCAGATGGACGCTGGGTCCCAAACCGCGGGAGCCTCAAAAAGAGCGACTTTTGTTTGCTTTCGAAAAGGAGGTACCACACCGAGTCGCACTAGTGGCAAGACCTTCCAAGCCTCCCCATGTCCCTCAAAAATTAGGCTCGTTTTCTTACAATGTTTTCCTATTGGTTTTTTCATTTTTTTCCTCCAAAACTGGTTTCCCGAGTGCGTCCTCACGTAGGAGCAGCGCTCGGAGCAGCTCCGCAGGCAGCTGGGGCAGCAGCGGTTGGCGCTGCAGACAGGCGACGAGGAGCTGTCCGAGGACCAGCGGAAGCTCAGCGCCACGGCCAACGTCTCGTGAGGGGCTGGGCGTGTTGCAGGCTGATACGTAATTAGCGCGTCGACAGATGGAAAAGTACAACACGTTGCCACAAACGCTGGAGATTTCATTCGATCGGGAAGCTTGCGTCATTGTCACCGAGCAGCTGAGGCAAGCTGCAACAGACAACCCGCGAGCTGCAAGCGGAGGCCCGGGCAGACGTCGTGGCGGACAAAGCCCAGGCGCGCCACACCCCGATGCATGGGGCAAGTCGGGAGTCCTGAAGGCGGAAAAAGCCTTGCGACTGCGAATCAAAGATTGAGTTCTAGGGAGGGTGACTTTCACGATGCAACATGATTAGGCACAAGCAATCAGTTGCGCTTAGCAGGACAAGTTCAATGCTGTCCGGCCCTGCGTTTGTATAGTTCCCTTTACGCGGCACACTGAGGATGGCTGCCGAACGTCTTGCACACAGAGTAGTATCAGATCCTGAGTTCCAAGCGCCAGGCAGAGAAATACAAGCAAGAAGCCTTGAGCTACGCAAAGGATGTGGAGAAGCTTGGGCAGGCTGGTTGTGAGTCGTTGGGGGGTTCGGGAGGGGGGGGGTCACGCCCTTGGCAAAATGTTTGTAGCCAGATCAAGCAAGGCAAGCGTCTACCCCCCTTCAACTCCCAGGCACCGAGGGAGAGACTCTGATGACTCTCACACCGTGTGGAGATCGCGAGTGATGCCTCGGAGCATTCCAGGGATCACGTTGTGCGCACCGACCAGGAAGTGCAGGATGCAAAGCTGCAGCTGGCAGCGCTCCAAAGAGAAGCAACTGAAGACGAGGAGTCTGAGAAGCAAGGCGGGTTGCCGCAACCAGGATCAGGTAGCCTCGATTCAGTTCAGTTTGAATCAGTTTGGCTCAGTTCAAAGATTCTTGTGGAACCTTTGCCGGCTTGGTTTTCTCCTGGCAAACCCTCCTGGTCAAGTGTGGATAAGTGCAACAAGCGGTTGGCTTCCTGCTTGGTTTCGATGCCGTACTAGCTTTCGTTCTTTTCTCGAGTCATGCCCATGTGTTGGCTTGGTGTTGCCCCCACAAGTCTTGGGGCTTCTTCATCAGCCCCTTGGAGCAGCGGCCCTTGAGGCTATCGGCGCCTGGCGGCCGACGAGCAGCACCTGCGCAGTGAGGAGCAGCAGCTCGACAGCCAGGAGCTGCATCAGAAGGCGATGCAGCGACAGGCGGGCGGATGTTAGTTTGTTGGGTGGTTTTGGCTGTGTCAAGGTCTGTATCCATACAAAGCCTTTGAGAAGAGGGAGGCTTGCGTCTTTTGGTTGGGTTGCCTGCTGTTCTGGGTTAAGATGTGTCATTTGTCTTTTCAGTTTCTACGGGGGCTCCAGCTGCACTGCTCTCCAATACCACATTGCCTGAGGTTCCCAGAGAGAGTAACCAAACCTCTATTTGATTTATCAGCCAAAGAAGGGTTTCCCTTCATGGCACTCGTGACGGGAGGTGGGATGATGGCCTTGGAAAACAAACCATAGGCCAAGCCTTCATGGATTTGCTGGGAAATCGGTAATCGGGACACTTGCCATTGGCACCAGCAATCCGCTGCCGTTTCTTTGCCAGGGCCCCCCCACTTGGTCAAGACGGACTTTTGAGCATCAAAGAAGTCAGCACAGTGGACCAACCGAATGAACAGTTTCCCGCGTTCCTGAAGCAAATGCTTTGCAATGGACTGGCAAGCAGAGGCGAATACCGCCCCGGTAGCTAGCGGTTTTTGGGCACCAGCTTAAGCAATCTATCCGGAGGTGGCGAGTCTGGAAGCCGACATCGAGACGGGCCTTGCAATTGACGGCGCTCAGGCTGGATGGCTTGATAGCAGCTTTTGCTAGCAAAAAGTAGAAGAACCGCCCTATGACTCGTTTGCGTTCCGAACAGGAACTGCGAAGACGGTAATCATGTGTGATCAAGGGGTGCGCAACTTGGTTTGGCAATGGCCAATGGGCAGCCAGAGGTGAATTTAATTTCAAAGCCTTTTGCACACCAGAACCTGGACTGGCAACTGTCCAAAGTGGGGGATGTGCTGGTCTATCGAAGCCACCAAGCTGTCGGGTGCAATCGAAGCCACCAGGCTGTGCTGGGGCTGAAGTGATCTCACTGATGCACTTCTCATGCCGTCGATGGAAGAATGCGACGGCAATACGGCCCAGCAAATTCACTTGGTGTGAGCCTGAAACACTAACTAACTGGCTCAGCTTGTTGGGTTGAATGGTTCAATATTGCTGCACAACGAGCTTCTGGGTTCCAGGTTAGCCTCATTGTTTCGGGGGCACCCTCACTCCAACCAACCTTGAGCAGTGAAACATGCGAGAAACCCGACTCAACATGCTTCCCTGCAACCTCTCCACAGTCCCCCCCCCCCAACCCCCCACCCCCCCACCCCCCCAAACCCCCCACCCATTTTGTGGCCACCACAAATCCCGGCCCCTCCCACGACTCTCCAGCCGTGAACGCCGGGTTCGTCTTCAGGCGGAGAGCCACGAGCAGCGGCTCACGGCGATGGCGCAGGCGGCCTCCAAGGCGCAGAAGGCCACGGAGCGGCTCAAGCTCCAGGTCACCAGGCCCATGCCGATCGCGGATCGGATGCGGATGAATTGGATGAGGGCGGATGGATGACGGAGGGATCGGATGGATCGGATGGAAGGAAAAGCAGAAGCTGGTGGAAGGGGGGGGGGGTTGGTGGATTCAACCTTTGCATAAGTTATCCCCAGAACTGGTCTTAAATGAGTGACGGGAGGGGGGAATTTTGATGTTGGGTTCCAGCTCTTGGCCCGAGCCCTCCCAGCGGTAGAGCTGGGACTGCGAATACTCGGGGAGTGACACCATGGATCGCTTTCGCTGGATTTCTACCCCGACGGCGGGGGAGGCATTCACAGGTGTGGTGCTTGCAAAGCACGTCCATGAGGAGGGCATCACCGAATGCGAGATCTTGGGGACCGAACTCACGGTCATGGTCCACCTGATGTTGCAGACCGGCCACCGGTATACTCTGTACTTTTACAAAGTGGACGCAGATGGCTCGCTGAGCCACACACCGGAATCCGTGCTTGTACATTTGGCTGAGGCCACCCAACACAGCTTTGGTGAGGTCAAAGAGTTATGTGCAGGTATTGGTGGTATTGGCCTTGGCCTTGCAGCTGGAGGCGCAAAAGTGATTGCCGCAATGGACATCAACGCCCTGGCCATCCGGCACTTGCAGATGAATTTTTCGTTTCCAGCCTTTTGCGGCAACATCACCAGCGACCAGGACCTTTGTACACTGCATCTAGCCGGACATGTTGGTCCCACTTTGGAAGCCGCCGGTTTCCCCTGTCAACCCTTCAGTCAACAGGGTGATGGACGTGCTTTTGATGATCAGCGAGCAGCCGCTTTTTGGGGAGTATTGCGGTCCGCTTATTTGCATCAGGCTACCGGTTTGATCCTCGAGTGCGTGGTTGAAGCAGGTTACAATCTTCGGCTGCAACAAGCGCTCAGGGACTTTGCCAACATCATGGATATGCACTTCGTACAGGTGGTATTGGACCTCAAGGAACAGTGGCCTATGCGCCGGGCACGCTGGTGGGCACTGCTGGTGCCCAAGTGGTTGCCTACCCCTGCCCTCCGTTCTTGGCCAACCAACACAGGTTGCAAGTGCATTGCGGATGTTCTCCCCTCATGGCCTTGCTGGACAGCAGAGGAACTTTCGCCCCCGTTCTTCACCGCCGAAGAAATGGAGTGGTATTTTGGTCCCCATGCTGGACAGGAACAACGGATCCTTCGCCCAGACAGTTGCTGCCCTACCATGCTGCATTCATATGGACATGTGTTTTCGGGTTGTCCTTGCCTGTGTCGGTCAAAGGGATTCCTGCCCTGGCATCTTCTGACCAAAGGCCTTCGTGGTTTCGGCGTGCAGGACTCTACGGACGGTGCAATGCGACATTTGCACCCTTCTGAGGCGGCCACCCTTTTGACCTTTCCTCCGGGAGTCAAGTTGCTACCAGGCCGTGACTCACTGCCTATGCTGGGGCAGTCGGCAGCACCCATCCAGGCGCTTTGGGTCTTTGCGCACCTCGCCAACACCGTGGATGGTTACTACGACACTCACACTACGATGCCACCAACAGACATCATCCAGTCCTACCAGGACCTACTACTCAACCAAGTCCATGATTTCCTGCCCTGGGATCGCGCAGGTACCCCAATTTCCGTCGAAGTCATCTCCTCAGAGGACGAACCACCTATCCCACTGCGGGTTTGCGCACCTACAACAGTCGGTCAACTTCTCCGTGCTGAGGATGTACAAGGCTACTGGGGATACTCCACTCAGCTCTTTGATGGCACGCGACGCCTTGCACCGGAGGCTCATCTCCGACCCTCTGGGCGATGCGGTCCTTACAACTTGAGACGAGTCCTGAAGAAGCAGGCACTACCTCGCCCCGACGGCGGCATCTTCGTCACCTTGCACTTTGGTGAGTCGTCTCAATCCATCCTGCTTCCCGCAGGATCTTTGCTGCTTCAATTCCTTGCTGAAGCAGGTCTGGATCCCACAGCTCCCACCCTCTCAGTGGGCCATGTGCAGCTCCACCAGGACGCACGGCTGTGGCATAGCTGTGACCTGTGGGTCACCACCCCTCTCTACGGCTCCGGACCTGACACGACCACTCTTGGCCTGTCCAGCCTCGCTCTATTTGGTGGTGCCTTCGATCTTTCTGCACTACTTCACAACCGACCACCTCTGCATTGCAGAGCCATCGATCTCCAGCTAGGCCCTCTTTGGTCCTTCAATGGTGACCCTGACCAGTCAGAAGTATTTGTCTTCCTCCTTCACAACCATCACACGCTACATTGCCAACACTACGACGGCCTTGCAGGCACAGCATCCGCACAGGCAGCCTTTGCCTACTGCCTTGATCAAGCTACGCTTTCAGGACAGCTCTTGCGCTTTACCTCCAGCAGGCTGATCACCCAGCTGTCTCCGCACACCTGCGGCACCGTGGCCTTGTTGCATCTCGCCCTCTGCCTGGGGCTTCACCACATTTGTCCACAGCCACAGCTGGCACGCTCGTCTTACCCCATGCTACCTCTCCCTGCTACGATGCAAGCCCTTTCACCATCCACTGGTATCTCTACCGACCAGCACCCGACGATCAGCGATATGCACCACCACCTTGTCCTTCTGGACCTTTGTTGGCGCGACCAGCATGCATACCACCAGGCCCCAATCGGTCTTGGCCCTGGCGGCGACGACCAACAACTGCTGGACCAATTGAGGCGTCTTCTCGCCGAAAAAGGCGTCCCGGATGACAGGGCAGATGAGCGTGCGCATCTTGCCCTCAAGATGATTGGGCACAATGAGATCACTACCGCTCTTCGAGGAGCACAACCCTGGCAGGCCCTAAAAGCATATGCCTCACGACCCAAAACTTCATTTCGCCTCATAAAGGCAGATGAACTGCAGAGCAAGATCAAACAACGAGCACACAGCAAGTTCCGGGTACAACCGGCCGACAAAACACGCAAGTCACGGCCTCGGCCGTTGGAAGAAACGCCTTTGGCGGTCAACCCAAGCCAGCTGTCACTCATCAAGCAGTCCTTCACAGACGACAAGGGCACCGCCTTGGAGCAGATACCCTTCGAATCCCTAGGTCAGGGCAAGAAGGGCATTGCCTTCGGCGGTCTTCAACAACTGGCCCCCTTCCTCCGGGAAGGTAAGATCATCTCTGAGGAGGCACTCGGAGTTCTCACACCGACGCCACTTCCTGCTGAGTTGCGAGGCGCACTCCAAGTGCAAGACCTCCGGTTTCCAGCTACCTACATTGCCACTGCAGAGCCTCTCTTGATACAAGGGAGTCTAATCTCCCTCGGCAAGGGAGCCATCTCCCGCAACATCGACCACCAGCACACCATGGAGGTAGTGTCAACACAGACACTACGGCTCACAATCTATCGTAATGATTGGCCCCACAACTGGTCAGTCTTTCAGGAAAGACCTATTCGGGCTCTCCTGGAAGCTGTGCCAGTCCTGCAACTCTGCAAGGCCTCGGGATGCGGCACGGACTGCATGAAGTTCCACGCCCCAGTCGATGAACTTCTGGAGGTGCTCTTGCTTGACATCTGGAGCCGCAGCTGGCTTGCCAACAACGGCAAATTCTGTGCTCCATCAGAGGCGACCTCGTTCTCAGTGCTAGTTCGGGTTCCGAAATGTGCGGAACGCAGCATTCAGAAAGCATCAGGAGCCTCAGGCTTTTACGCTGAACCTCGCTCTCACTGTGGCAAACTTGCCGACGAAGCATACGGAGCCATTTGGCTTCCCGGTTTCAACCTCATGGACGCCCTGCACAAGCTCTGCATTGTCGATCATGCCATCTGCGTTTGCAGGATCCACTCCAAGTATGGCCTGCGGTTCAGTGCCGAGCACCATGCCGATGCTTTCAGCCACCTTCGGCCCACCGACACATTTGTCAGCTCGAAGATTCACTCCATCTACCGCATCTACCCTTTGCCTTTCGGCACACAAAGGAGTAATCTCCAGCATTTGTTGTCCAAGTGGAGCTGGGACGCCAAGGTCCTCCATGCAGCAGGCGGAGGATCGGAGGGGGCCGCATGGGAAGTGGGCTCACACCTACCTCCTCCCTCTCACGTGATGCAAGGCTCCTTTGGCGATGCGGCGATCACCCTCGTCAAGCATGTCAGCCGAGCTACCCCGCAGGCTCTGGTCCTTGCCACCCCTTCCACCCGTCAGCACATCCGGGGGGGCATCAGCAACGGTGGCCAACAGGCCAGCGCATCCAACACACAGGCGGCCCCGGCCGACCCATGGCTGGTGAAGGATCCATGGGGAGGATCGCAGTCATCCCACAACCCGGATCGGCTACAGCAACTTGAGACCAGGCTCAAAGCCGATTTTGCAGCACATGTGCAAGCACACGTCAACCAGCATCCCTCTATGGAAATCGACGACTCTGACCAACGTCAGCAGGATGACATGCGCATGCAGCGAATGGAGGTCAGTATCCAGGAGCTGCAACGGCAAAACCAGCGCTTTGACGCCTTCTTTGGCGAAATCCAAGCCACAACTTGCCACCAAGGCAACAGGATCGAGAACTTGCAAGCCCAGCTTGAGAAGCAACACAAAGAGGTCGAATTTCTCCGGAACGACCTGCGACACGAGGTGGCCACCCTCAAGGACGGCCAAAACGCGCTTCAGGACCACATTGGGAGGGGCTTTGCTAACATGGAGGCCCTTCTGGAGAAGCGTCCTCGTATGGGCTGACTAGCACGCCAAGACCTCCTCTACTCCAAGGGGGGAGGGTCGCTATGTGCTCTGCTATCTTGGATCAGCTTTTTCCTTTTGGGCAGCCTTCACTCGTTTCAGTGCAGGCATTTTTGCACCGCATACTACTTTAGCCTTGCTGCTGGTCTTGCCCGGCTCTTCTTGCTCAGCGCAGCACTCTGTGGCTGCGGTTTTGGGTCGGACCATCAGCTTGGCTTCTCCAAACGGCGCATGTGCTCTGCGCTTCCCCCTGCCAGTCACTGGCAGCTGGGTCTGCCCTCCAAATTCTACCCTCTCGGTGAGGCCATCAACCCGGGGCCCCCGCTTGCGATTTCCTTCGCCAATCCTACCGGCCTTCGGGCCAAAGAATCCATTTGTTTGAGCCTTCCGCGTGGGATCCTCAATTTCGCTGAGACTCATTTGGCACAGCCGGGGATCAAGGCTTGCTGCCAAACCTTTCGACACATTGCCTCACAACAGCAGCGACGGCTTTGGCCCCCTGTTCCACTCCGGGCCCGGAGTCTCACGACTGGCACCTGGGCTGGTGTCTATCAGATGGGAGACATGCCGATGTACAGGCTGCAAGTGCCTTTTCCTGACTCGGAATACTCGCTTGGCCGGGTTCAGGTTGCCTCTTTCAACTTGGGACACACTCACATCACCGGCACAGTCGTCTATGGCTGGCCAACTGGTCCCACTTGGCCTCGCGCACGAGAAGCCACGCGCAACCTCCTTCAGCAGATCTCTGTGGAGCTGGTTTATGGGCGCAGTGGCCTTCGATATGTTTCTGGAGATTTCAACGGCGAAGACTTTCCGGAGTTCGAAGAGTGGGCCAACCTGGGATGGACAGAAGTCCAAAACCTTCATCACTCCTTGACGCAGGAGGACATTCTGCCGACCTGCAAGGGCGCTACACGACCAGACCGAATCTACATTTCGCCCGAATTCCGCCAGTACTTCCAACGTGCCGAAGTACATGACAGCTTCGCCGACCACTCCACAGTCACTGGATGGTTTGATATACCAACCCAGCTGCCTGCCCAACTGCACTGGCCTTTACCGGCCAAAATTCCATGGTCCAGCCTGGATACTGCTTCATGGCAGCATGCGGACTACCAACCTCACGACCTTGCCTCTTGGCGCGGCACAACCACCTCTTTCTATGCTGAATTCGGACGGGGCTACGAAGCTAGTCTGGGACCACATTTACAGCACAACTTTGCGGGACGACTTCCACCCTCCTACCGAGGCCGCGGGCAGGCCTCTGCCCCACAACTACGACCGGCCCAACCACCCCGGCTACGGCCTAGCCGATCGGGTGAAGCCCTTCCTGCTTCCGACTTCTTGGGTCGGACTCATCACCGTTGGTTCACCCAGCTCAGGCGCTTTCAGTCACTGTACCACAATTTACAGCGCAACAGTACAACTCCAACAGCCATCGAATACAGGCTTCTCACCTGGCAGGCCATCAAGGAGGCTAAGGGCTTCGACGGAGGGTTCACGTTCTGGTGGCGAACCCGGCCGGTTCAGACCATGGGTGCCGGTACAGACTTCCCTAGGCTTCTGCCTCACATTGGACAGCTGCAAATCCTACGGTGGGATTTCGAGGCCAATTACCGCTCCTTCGAGTCCTGGAGCATACGTCAGCGCTGCTCGCTTCTCAAGGCCAGGCGTCAGGAGCACATCCGCGAGGCTTTTCAGGATGTGACTAAAGCAGAGCGACAGCCGCTGACCACGCTTCTGCTCGCAGACGAGGCCACTATCACCGACGTTGATCCTCGCACCCATCATGTTGCTCTTGACCACGATCTGCAGGAGGACAACTCAGGCCAATGGCTCCTTGAGGACTCTCCAGCACGAGTCACACGGCTGTCTCCTTTCACCTACCAGGTTGACTCTGACCTCCTGCTCTGTCCAGGTCAACAACTTCGTTATGAGCGGGTCGTCTCTGACCCTTCCGAACTGGCAATCCACCTGCAACAGTATTGGTCCGCCCGATGGAATTTGGATCATCCACCGGATCCTGCCACCTGGCAGCGGGTCCTGGCATTTGCTCGTGCTTACCTGCCCCGGCACACCTTTTCATGCCCCGACCTTGCAGTTGAAGCATGGGAACTCGGCACCAAGAAGTTTGCAGCCAGATCAGCACGCGGCCCAGACGGCTTCGACCATCTTGATCTCGGGCTGATGCCTGCCTCTTTCAAGCGCCAACTACTACAGCTCCTGACGCACATTGAATCCGGGGCCTCTTGGCCCCAGCAACTACTCAAGGGGTTCATCCATCCCCTCCCCAAGCACGATGCGGCTACCGTCATTTCACACTACCGACCCATAGTGGTCTTCTCAATGATCTATCGTTGCTGGGGCTCCCTTCGCTCAGGATGTCTGCTACAGCAGCTCAGTCAGGTGCTTCCACGAGGCATCCTCGGCTTCATCCCTGGCCGGGAGACTGGTGATTTCTGGTATTACACCCAGGCTCTCCTTGAATGTGCTCTGCAACAGCAACTTTCCATTTGCGGCTGCACCACCGACATCCGCAAAGCCTTCGAGCATATACCTCGTGAAGTCTTCTTCCAGACTGCCACTGCTCTTGGCTTTCCACCTCGGGTTCTGGGCGCCTGGCAGGCCTTTTTGCAGCAAGTTCAGCGGCACTTCCTTGTGCAGGATCATCTCAGCACGGAGATCACCTCGAACAGCGGGTTTCCTGAGGGATGCTCCCTCTCGGTTGTGTGCATGTGCATCATCGACTGGATCTGGGATGCCTATCAGTCGGCCTTTGCTCCAAGCACCATACCGTCGTCCTATGTGGATAACCTCGAGTTGCTTGCCCGGGACGTAGGCTCCCTGCTGCGCGGTCAACTGGTCATGGAGGAGTTCTACAATCTTTGGGCCCTTTGCCTGGATCCCGAGAAGACCTACTACTGGGCAACCAATGGAAAGGACCGCTCCTTCTTACGACAGCTCGGTCACCGTGTCGAGCTTGCACATGCCGACCTTGGAGGTGCACTCACCTTTTGCCGCTCACGTGCTCTCGGCTCTCTCCGGGCACGACTGGACTCTTTGGAGCCGCTTTGGCCCAAGCTGCGGCGTTCTTCATCGCCCACTGCGATCAAGCAGCTCATACTACGACAGGCCTTCTGGCCCAAAGCGTTGCACGCTGTCTCCATCTCGCTGCTACCCTGGGCAGAGATCGCCCAACTACGCACCAAGGCAGTTCGGGCACTTGGCCACGGCAAGGCAGGTGCCCATCCGGGCATTCGACTTGGTCTACTCAGCGGCAATGTCGCCACAGACCCAGGAGCCTTCCAGCTCATCAGGGTCCTTCATGACGCTCACCGTTTCCTGAACAAGGACCACAGGATCCTTGACCTGTGGCAATCCTTCCACGAGCACTTTATCGGCTCCATGCTCTCCGGGCCTTTCAGCAAGCTTGTCGACCAATGCGACCTCATCTGGTGGCGGGTTGAATCCCCACCAGTTTTGCTTGACCACCACGGCCTGCCGGTCGATCTCCTGACTGACCCTTGGCCTTCTACCCAGGCACGTCTTGAAGATGCATGGCGGCAGAGACTTGCGCGTGAGGTCGCCCATCGCCAGGATTACAACGGGCTGGTGGGTCTTCAGTGGCCACCCAGTAGAAATGAGGCACATCTCACGGCACTTCAGCACGCTCAGGTCAATGCTCTGCGTGAGGGCACCTTCCTCACAGGGCATGTGCAGGGTAAGTTCGATCTTGTTAAGGGCACGGCCTGCCCTCATTGTGGTGCCGATGACACGCTGGCACATCGCTGTTTGGTTTGTCCGACCTTTGAGGCGGTCCGCACACGACACTCTTGGGCGGTTCAGCATTGGGATGCCTTTCCACGTTCGCTCACGGAGCGCTTGCTACCCTCAGCAAACCCACACCTTCGTGATCTGCAACATCAGCTCTATCGACAAGCTGATACTTTATCCAGCAACCTCGCTCCCGGCGGTCTTCAGCATTTCGACCTCTTCACCGACGGCAGTTGCCTTGCGCCCAATCGTCCCGACATAGCTTGCGCCTCATGGGCCGTTGTGTCGGCCACGCATGGGACGTTGTTGGCAGCAGCTCCACTGGGAGGTTTATTTCAATCTATTGACCGCGCGGAGCTCATGGCGATCCTCATGGCCACCCGCTGGCTGATTCGCTTTTCCAGCCGGGGCACGATCTGGTCAGACAGTTCATACGCCGCATGCGGTCTCGCGGCGTTGATCCAGGACCAGTATGCTCCGCTACCAGACACACACGCAGATTTATGGGCCGAACTTCGACATTCCATCTCTTTTTTTGCCTCAGGCGAGCTGCTTGTTCAACATGTACCTGGTCATGCACAGATATCTGACATTTTTGCAGACACAGCAGACTGGGCAGCATATTGGAATGATCAGGCAGATGCGGCGGCGCGTGGTGCTCACCGGCAACGCCCTCTCGCTTTTTGGCATGTCCGCGACCTTTTTCGACAACACCAACAGGCCACTTGGGATGCCGTTGACCGTTTTCGGAGCTTTCAGCTTGATATCGCAGGTGCCGGGCACCTTGTGGCATGCGAAGCTCCAGGTGTTCTACATCCTGATGATCCTCCAATTGTCATGCGTACCATGCTTGATGGTGGTGACTGGATTTCCAGCCTGCCCCCCAACTGGGCGCACATCTGGCAACAGTCGAGTTATGCGCGGCAATTTGGTACTGCCTTTATTGCCTCTTTCGTGCTCTGGCTCCAGCAATTCCTGCGTGAACCCACGGTACGATCTGTGCAGATTTCTTGGCTTGAACTGGCAGTGCTTACATTTCAGGCGCGGCTACCGCACCCTTTTCCTTCTGCAAGGTACAGCGGCGAGTGCTGGAGTGATGAGGTCTCCCCAGCCTTGGCCGGCCAACTGACGTTGGCTCAAAGAATTCGTTTCATTAGAGGTGTGGTGAAAGCTATGTGCCAAGTTTTTTCGCTTCCGGGCGCTTTCTTGCACGGCATTGATGTTTCTGGTCTCCGGATCCACATGCCTTTGCAGGGCTTGGCTGTTTGTATAGACGAACCGGCCCTCAGCGACCTCGATCGGTTTCTGCTGGCCTTTACCGCCAAGCGACCTGTGCGCACAGCCAACGACGTTGTGCGCCCTCTGTGAGGGAACAGACCTAGCGCGCCGCACTGCTTTCTGCCGTGCGCGTGCTATGAGAGACAGGCCGAGTGATGTTGGGTTCCATTGGCCTGGGCCCACTTCAATTGAAGTGTGACGGGCTTGTTGGCAACGCTGGCTGAAGCCTATGCTAAATCTCAATGTGAGAATTTCGAATCATGTCTAGGTCTCAAAAAGGCTGCCTTGGTCAAAGTCCTTCTGGGGCTCAAGTTGAATGCGGTGGAAGAAGCGCCGCTTCATGTTGCTGTGGTTTTAAGTTTACTTCACTGCTGTGGGTTGCTTCACCCCCGTGAGGAAGACTAGTCATTGTAAACTGCTGGCTGGGTGTCACGGGCGTCATTCGGCCGCACGACTGCTGTTCAATGTCAATCCACAAAGACATTCTGCAAAATGACAGTCCCTGATCGATATGTAGGCGTTCAATTTCCAGCATGCCCCGGAAAACCAAGGAGCCCTGGCACATATGGAATGAGCAATGCTGCTGTCACAAGCCTCTGAGCAAACGCGGCAAGAGCTATCAATGCCACGTCAGCCCGCCTTGGAAAGACACTTTCAGATCTGAGGCACATATTTACTGACCAAGAGCGTAAAGGGGCGTGTCGTCGATCGTCGTGAGAGGGAACAGTCGAGCCTTTCGCAATGCCCCAAGGCTGGAGGCAGAAGTGCGAGGAGATACGCAGCAGCTGGACAGCTTGAAGCGCCAGGAGATGTCCGCAACCACACCTCATGCAATGGCAAGCAAGAGCAATGGGATCAATCAAGCTGCTGGGACCCTTCTAAAATGGATTAACATGCCTAAAACACGGAAACGTTGATTTCGTCATAAGGGCTTTCTTAAGGGGGCAGTACAGGGAACCCTTTGCACAGTTGAGTGAAGCGCATCCTGGGCAGGGCTATTCCAACCATGCAGCAAGAATATTGTACTTGTACGGTCACTTGCAAGTTGAAGGCCATAAGTTGCGGCACAATTTGCACGGATGGATTGCAGATGTCAGCCGGCAAGCTTTGTTGATCATTCACTAGGAAGCTAGCAGCCGGACCAGCTTGCTGATTTCATTTGACGCCAGTAGCGCACAGGAGGTGCAAGAGCAACAGAAGACACAGAGCAGTCCGTGACCCAGCATGTTTAAGCATAGGAACAATGATGTGTTTGTCATGTTTAAGCATGTGCTTAACCACCGTAGGGCATGTCCCGTTGTTTCGGCTGATCAGAACCTGTGACCACAAACCCTGACCTGAAAGAATTCAACTGAAAGCCTACCAGCAACCGGATCAATACACAGACTTCCACCCTGGGAGCCTGAGAGTCTACGGCAGACTCCCAAACTGTGGCAAGCATCGAGGGGGAAACCTGCTGGCCATAGTTTGTGATAGATTCAGTTCCATTTCGATGCGCAATGACTTGATTGACAATCTGATTGGTTGAGGGCACGCAGCTTGAGGCCTGCAGGAGATACGTCAGAAGAGGTGCGACACGGGCTACCAGCCTGAGGTTTGCAGTGAGACTCCGCAGGCACCGTGTAGAAGGCAAAAAGGTCTTAGTCCAGGTTGGGATCACAAAGCTTCCAAGTTCTACTGTGAGGTACTTGTATATTTTGGAGCTTTAATCGAATGCCACTTTTGTTCAATGGAGGATACCTGTTCACAAGTTGAAAGGCCTTTGGAAGCTTAGAGGCCATGCATGGGCTTGCTTGGGTCGACGCTGCTGGCCGATGGTCATTGGAGGCTCTACCGCGTACAAGCGGCAAAGGACATGTATGCCAAGCTGGACCCTTAAGCTCCAGCAAATACTCCGCGAGGAGTTTCATGTTGCTATCCGCTTGCACGGCTTGTCACCGACTGAGTTACCTGCTCTTGCGGATATGCTTGACTTGATCATGGCTGATGCCTTCACCCGCCTGTGCGATCCCTTTGCACATGTAGTGCCTCTGTTGTTTCGAAGGCAACTGTCCTTGAGGCATTTCTGTAGCGGGAAGCAGTGCCGTGCGATATTTGAGGCTTCCAGAGCTCTTCAACCAGAAGGCTAAGATGGACGATGCGCGTCGGGCAAAGGAGGCTGAGGCGCGGAAGCAAGCCGGGAGAGAAGAAGGAGAGAGAGAGAGAGAGAGAGTGACGGACACATCCTAACATCATCACAAGATCGAGGTGTTTAAAATGCTAGCTCGAGTGAATGTTTTGAGACGGGCGCAGTGGGCACAGTTCACATTAGCCATGTGTGGTGGGACTTGTTTGGTCGCAGATTTCAGATTCAAATCTGAGGCACTCGCATATGTGTATATGCACCGATGCGAGGTTTGCACAGGGAAGCATGTCCTGGCGTTCGCTATGCTCCCCCGAATGGCCGCAACACAGGATGCCGCTGCCACCCGCGCTGAACAGCACAAGCTCCAAGAGGACCCGGAGATCAGTGTTGCTTAAGCCGCAATCGAAACAGGGATTACTCAAAACAGGAAATCAACAATCTATGCCAAAACGAGCCCCGCACTGCTGCACTTGCTGCATTTGGTCCACTGGGCTGGTTCAGGCCTCCGGGCATGACGCGAACTGCAGAATGACCGCACTGCCGCTGGCTCCAGTTGCAGTTGACACAGGGAGCGCTCAAGGCATAGTGCAGGAGGCAAGCTAAGAATGAGAATAAAACAAGCGGCTCCTGACCCAAGGAGCGCAGCACCTTGGCTCGCAGAAGCGACCAGGGCCGCACTCCTCAGTCCTTTTCAGGCAACTCCATGCTACCTTAGTAGCTGACCCACCAGGCCATCTCACAGCAAGTGAAGCAGCGAAGGCAAGCTGAGGCCACGGCTCAGGCCTTTGGAATCCTGCCCTTCCCCGTGGGCCTTCGGAGCGATGGATGGCACAGTGGCCACAGACTTCTATCAACTTGGCCTCGGTCACCTGAAGCATGGAGACTTGAGGGCAGCCTATGAGGACTGACCGACTGACCCGCGTACGCGCCAAAAACACCGCGGAGGTACGCGGCGCTACCCTAGCATTGTTGCGGGAAAGGCTCATGATCTAGTCAGGGCCCATGCCAGTGCGCGCAACTTTCTGTACACCCGACCTTGTTGAGCTTTTCCTTGACTGCGGAGGCCTTAGAGAGCATGTGTAAAATGGAGCAAATTGACTTGTATGCGGTTTGCTCTTTAACTTGCCTTGCTTGCAAGTAACAAGGCTCGAAAGCAGGCCCAAATTCTAGTCAGGGAAAGGCAGTCTTGGATGGCTTGACCAAGTCCAAGGCCCGTAAGCTACTCGGGCCTTCGGCCAGCGCGTGGAGGAGTTCCGGGAAGCCACCCGCATGGACCCCACGAACTTCGAGATTTGGCAGATGTACGAAGAGACCTACAGGCAGCGGTGCACGGCACGGAACTGGTGTCCGGGTTTCCGGTCGTGGTTTCGGTGGTTCTTAGCCACAGCTATGCAGCCGCGGCGTCCAGTTCCAAGGTTGGGGCGAAGAACTGATTGCGCTGATTTCCCATTGCTGCAGCTTATTTCTCCTAAGGTCCAAGAACTAGTCGCTGAACAGATCTTTACTATACACCCAGAAATGCTACATCGCCCACCCTTCGAGCTATGGTCGACGCAATGGATCCACCAGAGGAATCCTGTGACATTGGTACCGATTAGCATGCTTCATGTCCTAGTACAAAGTTTTCGGCTCCTCGAGTGGGCAGCTGGTACCAATTGCTGCACAGGCTGTTGAGCATTTTAGAGCGAGTCACCTGCCGCTACTATTGACTCAATAACAAATACATGCCACTACTGGTAAGACCCCTACGTGAGAACCGAGACTCCTCTAATCGAGGGCAGCACCCAGCCGCTGCCATTTATGGCCGACGGCTCCCCTCCTGTGCTGCACGGCTTTCGAGCTGGGGCTGTGGAAGCGCACTCCGCGTGCTACTTTGGAACTGCGACTTTCTAGCTGGGGCTGCGGAAGTTTACTTCGCGTGCTATTTTCGTACTGAAAAGTTGAGGCTTTCACTCCGGACGGCGGAATTTTACCTCGCGTACTACTTTAACCCTGTGAAAGATTCCCGATGGAGGCCGCAAAAGTTGTTGTTTCCCGCAAAGATTGCGTTTCCGGGCGCAAGGAGACAACTGCCATGTATTTCTTGCTGTGCTTTTGCGTTGCTTGCCAAATCGGTGTTCGTCAGCATGACGCTCCTGCGCCCCGCCCCCCCCATGAATTTTCATCTTGGTAAGGTTGGTGTCGGTGTTGTTTTGTCGCGCGTTAGTTTCGGGCCAGGTTCTTTTCCTTAGGTGTATTGTCTCGAAGTCGTTTCTTCAGCTGTTGGTTTGGGCTGGGAGCTGCCAGGAAGGTGGAAAAGGACATCGAAGCCCAGCACCTGACCCGGCGGCCGGTGGAGAGTCTCGCCGGACGCCGCGAAAACGGCACCGCGCTGCCGCACTTCACTCTCAAGGCGCGGGACCTCGAATTGGGGGTCTCATTGCTTCATTGATAGTTTGAGGCTTCGTTTACCTGTGAACGCGGGCTTTTCAGCCTGCAACCCTCAAGCCCAGTGGCACGGCAACAAAGCGCGCATGTTAGGTAGAAATTCACAGGGTCGCAGCAATGGCAGCCGCAAGAAGCTGACTTTCTCTGGAAACTCGGAGTCAGCATCCGTGCGGGCAACAAGCGCACCTTCTCAGCACACCTGCTCACGCACTCTACCGATGAGAAGCGCGCCCCCATGCCTGTCAAATGATGCCCCTATTCAACACCTGCTAAATGAAAAGAGAACCCGCTCGCGCGCACCGCCCGCTCAGCCCCGTACGCATGCTTGCCAAATGCTGGGTACACCCGCATACATCCCTCACCGTTCACTCTCTTCGTTTCCTCTCTCATCACACACCACACGCTCTTCCTCTCTTCGTTCGCCATCATAAAGGCTCAGAAATTCTGGGAGCGTGAAGTGTGTGTCATCTCTTTATCTCTCATGCTTTCCTGCTCTCACGGATAGGATTCAACCCTAGGAAGATGAAGGGATAAGGAAACAGGCAGGAAAGCAGGACGTGAGAGTGTCTTCACCCATCTTGAGTACTTGAGTACACTGAGTTCGCTCCGCGCTGACTTTGGCTTGGGCTCGTCACAAGCAGGCGGCGCTCTTTTTGTGGAAACTCTCGGACTGCAAGCGAGCCATAAAACAAGAAAGCACTTGTTGCTTTGCCATGTTTTGCCCAGGTCAGCCGAAGCACATCGTCCTTTGCAGATGATGGAGAGGACGTGGATGAGGCTCACGCCCGCGCGGTGTTCCTGCGCGGAGGCAGCCTTTTTGCGCATTATGTCCCAGAGGTGCAGCCAGCGGTGGATAACCTCGAGATGGTCGCGGGCAATCCTAAGATCTACTTCTGCATGTTGCTGTCCTGGCTGCTGACCTTTCTGATGGTTATCTACCACTACCGCGCCAGAATCCATCACAGGCTTCCCGGCTGCTTTATGTGGCGTGGATAATTGGCTTTGGCTGCTTGTCCTATTTTTCGCACTCCTACAGCACACGCACGCCTATCCGCCCCACCCAAGCTGTCCCGCGCGCGAACATCAGAAAGCAGCAACGTGTCATGGGCATGTGTTCAAGGGGGAGGCCGCGCCCTGTTCCCGGGGGACAAGGCATGCCTACTTTCCCTTGTGGCTGAAGAGTGACCGGCCTCTGACATTGTCAACAGGGTGTGGTGACACCTGTGAATGTGCACACAAGCTGGATAGAAATAGTTTTTTCCCAGACGTCCTGGCTTTACAAAGAGTTCCAGCCATGTGCAGAGGGCGTTGTTTTCGGATTTTGGTTGCCCTTTGCGGGTTCCCTTGGGCCCTGCCCCGAAGCATATGCCACGAGCGAGCGAGGGGCATGCACGCCGGGGAGAAATGCGGCTGGGTGGCCCTGGCGCTGGCGGCCTTGATCTACGTGGTGCGCCGCCACCAGCAGCAGCACTTCCGGCTCCGGGCGCGGGGTTCTCGGAGTGAAAGACAGGGGGAGGGGAGGGGAGAGCAAAGATGGGCTTTGTATCGCCCCAGAGAGGCCCCTGGTCCCTGGAGACCAGTCAGAGCATGCAAACGCAATTTTGCCAGCAGCAAAAGGCATGTTTGATGGCACTCCAGCTATCAAACGGGTTGAACCAAGTGGAATTGTGAGGTCAACTTGTGAGAGTGCCAACCCCAATTTCTTCCCGAGCCTGCTAACCCAGTTACACACCCCGGTGGTTGTATTGCTTATGCCACTTATACCCTTGTACCCTGCACACAAAGTGATATGAGCCTCCAGACCACCACTGGAAGTCGGGCTCAATGAAATAGTGGCACTGAGCTTAATCAAATTGCGGCACTGGTCAGGCAGCAGTTGGCCAACTGGGCTTGTTTGCTGTGTTTGTTGTGGCTGTTGTATATTGCAAGCCTTTGAATGTTGGTTCCCAATTCGAGCTGCTTCGTTTCGCCAAGGCGAACATTGACAACTAAACTGACAAATTGTCATCTCGAATGCCCACCACGCCAGCACAGACAGATGTGTCCTTCGGGGAGAGCAGATGCAAAGCTGGCACTAGGTGGAAAGATATGTCCGCGGGAAATCTGAGTTGTCATTCGTGTCAAGTAGGCCTTGGGCAATGCCCGTTTCAGCATGAGGTGAGAAGCTTGGGCCATGAAGCACATGAGCAGCTGAACGTAGCGGGTAAAACAAGCTCACCCGTGGTAGAGGGCACTGACAAAAGGAGTCCTTGGTTCAGGATGTTGAATGATTGCACAGGAATGCACAATGAGTCATAGTGAGTGCAGACAAATGATTTGGTCAGACACAGTTGGCGCATTGAGAATGAAGGGAACACCGGAAAAGCAGGATGCAAGGCCGGTCCTGCCGAGTAAACTGTCGCAGAGGTTGCATTTTGTTGTCGCAGAGCAACTTTGTGGAATGCATGCAACCCCGTGGCATTTGCCACAGGCGGTACATTAGTTGAACACATTGAATGTGCGTTGAGCGTGGGCTCACTCAGGTCCGACGTCATCAAGGTACTTTGCCTTCTTGTGATTTTTGTGTGCACCTTGTACCATATCTCGAGATACGGCAAGACGTCGTGACAAAAAGGCTGGGCAGCTGGGGTACGGTCATCCAGCTAGACCAAAGGCTTGGCTTGCTTTTTTCACCGGGCGCTGAATCATTTCGGGATGGCCCTGGGCCATCCTCGGCCCCTTTGCTTGGCCACTGAGATAAGCCAATGAGATGACTTTCTCTCATGATAATTTGCAAGCCCCGTTGCAGGTGAACAGTGGAAGCATGTAGCAGCCGCATTTCGAGAACACTTGAGGGGGCCTTCGAATTTTGCAATCAGCGGGAATATGTGGACACAAGCATCCCGTGCTGGTGGAGGGGAGGTGTTTAAGGCAAACATCACAGTGGGGATGCGTGGCCAGAAGTTTTGATCGCCTCACCTGTCCAAAGAAAGCAACCAAAGTTGTTCATCACAATCAAGAGGACCTGGTTGTGCGCCCAGAAATCTAGTCGAGAGTTGAAGCAGTTTAAGCGTCTCATTCAGGTGACAGGACAGCAGGCAACTCCCTTTCCTTCAACGGCATTGTCGGCCAATGCATTTTATTGTCCAACTCAATGAAGGATGTTGAAGGGAGAGCCAACCTTCTAGGACAAGCTCCAGGCCAACAAGAAGGCAGGATGATAGCAGGATTGTGGGCAGCCACGTTCGTGAACGCAAAGCGATGGTCAGCTGTCGTTGTCCTTAGGTTTCGTTCCTACTCAAATACATTGTCGAGCCAGTTGTTTAGCTGTCCATCAAATGCCTTGGCTGTGAAGCAGATTGGGTTCAATTTGTGAAGCACAGAGGAAGCTCGATAGACGATTGGAATGATGTTTCATTTGCCAGAGGCGTAAACTCCGAGAAGAAATAGCCAAGGGAATTGAACGCATTGCAGCATGAGTGCATGTGAGTGTGTGCGTGTGTGTGCGTGTTGCAATTTGCAGTAATGTGCGCAAAGTGCAATGCGTTGGAGTAGTGGCGCCCGAAGACAATGGCACCAGCAAGATCGCGCCACCAACCCGACTCTGCCTGACACAGCGCAAACACACAACGCCACTTATCTCGCGAGACGGGCAAGTCCAATTACATGTCCCAGCCAGGCAGAAGTCTGAGCAAGCAAGAGAGATGCTGCCCTTCCAAACTCTGCATGTGGTTTTGCCTTGTTTTTTGGTGTGCCCCAATGCGGATTGACATTGAAGCGGTGGGCCATGAGCAATCCTTTCGGCCCCCCAAAGGCCGCCCGAACCAGGCGGAGGACTCGGAGCTGCAGGCGGAGCTGCAGGGGGCGCAGATGAGGCTGAAGAATGCCCAGCGGATAACGAGCACCAAGGCCCTGCTGGGGAAGCTTCCCAGCGCATGTGATCGGGTGAGGGGATGCAAGGGAGGTGGCAAAAGTGTTTTTTTTCTAGGGGGATTGCTTGTGTGTGTGTGTGTTTGTTCTTCTTCTGATTCTTGTTTTTTTTCTTCGGATGTCGGGGATGTTTTCTGCAAACCCTCAGCTTTGGTCCGTGATAGGGGGCTGATTGTTCTGCAGCTACATTGTTCGGCAGCAATATCTGTTGCATAGGTTTCAAGGTTGGGGCGACAGCAAGATTTGAACTAGCTTGGTGACTTTGCATTTCTGCCTTGTTGCGCTTAGGTAAGTGCATATGCAGCATATTGCACCGTCCTCATTTGTGTTACTGGCATTTGCTAGCCAGTTCAGATAAGAGTGAAGCTTGCCCAGTCTGTTTGAGCTTGCCATGCGTGGGATGTTCCGCTGCCCGGCGAAGCTCCGTTTTGAGCAAGGCCATGGCGCAGAAGCGCATGCAGCAGGTGAAGGGCAAGCTGGCAGAGACAAAGCGCGACGAGGCTGGACACTGCACGAGACCCAACTGTGAAGGGTGCTTCGCTTCACATTGAGCATCAACATGTATAGATTTAGCTGGAAGGAGGTTGGATACATGCTTTCAGGGCAAATCGCTAAGGAGGAGTAAAAGACGTCACTTCGCAGATTCCTGCCGGGCTGGCGGCGGGCCCGTTTTCAACAATGTAAGTAGGATTTTAAAGAAGCTTGAGTGTTTGCGTCAGCCTGTCTTCGAGCACACCCACTTGAAGAACACACTCAAAGTTACTTCCTCTAATTGCTCTCTTGCTCAAGTTGGTTCCCGCAGCCTGATTGGAGTGAGAGCTATATTGCCCCCAAGCTCGAGAAAGGCAAAGGAGATGAAGAAGTTCACGCAGCGCTCTGCAGCCTTGCAGAAGGCCCGGGGTTCCGGCGAAAGGGTATGCCACAAGAAGGGACTCGAGACCTCGTGACATCAGCTTGAAGCCTCAAGTCGGCTTCTTGGGGTCGCAGTGCTGCCCTCCTGGCAGGAAATCAGCGTGGATGAAGCCAAAGGCCGCAAGAAGAGTGCAGAAAAGGCAAAGTTCCTGGAAAAAGCGCATCTTGGCCATGGGATTCGGGGGGCTCTATAAATATATATATATATATGTGTATATAGGGTTGGGAGTTGAACACTTAGCACTGTTGTTCAAAGTTGTGGATGCTGAGATATGCTGAGGCAAAATGAGCTTCTCAAAGCAGAGAATGAGCAACCTGGCAGCAACGTTCGACTGCCCAGCTTCCGATGCTTGATGAAGTGGACCATCCTTCACACAATGTCATTGAAGAACTGTATCAAGTGCTGAACCGTTGCTATCCTTGCACAAGCGATGTGTGTGTGTGTGTGCCGTTTCTGTGTGCACAGTGTTGCCTGTGTGTGTGTGTGTTTCTCTTTTTTGTTTTTTTTGGGAGTGCTTCTGTGTGTGTTTTTGGGTGTGTGTTTCTGTGTGTGTGTGTGTTTTTTGTGTGTGTTTGGGTGTGGGTGTGGGTGTGGGTGTGTGTGTGTGTGGTGTGTGTGTGTGTGGTGTGTGTGTGTGTGAGTGTGAGTGTGAATGTGTGTCTGTGTGTGTGTCTGTGTGTGTCTGTGTGTGTCTGTGTGTGTCTGTGTGTGTCTGTGTGTGTTTGTGTGTGTCTGTGTGTGTCTGTGTGTGTCTGTGTGTGTCTGTGTGTGTGTCTGTGTGTGTCTGTGTGTGTCTGTGTGTGTTTGTGTGTGTCTGTGTGTGTTTGTGTGTGTGTTTGTGTGTGTGTGTTTGTGTGGGTGTTTGTGTGTGTGTTTGCGTGTGTGTGTGTGTGTGTGAGTGTGTGTGATTGTGTGTGTGATTGTGATTGATTGTGAGTGATTGTGAGTGATGATGTGTGATTGTGTGAGTGATTGTATGTGATTGTGTGTGTGGTTGTGTGTGTGTGTGTTTGTGTGTGTGTGTGTTTGTGTGGGTGTTTGTGTGTGTGTTTGCGTGTGTGTGTGTGTGAGAGTGTGTGTGTGATTGTGCGTGTGTGTGATTGTGATTGATTGTGAGTGATTGTGAGTGATTGTGTGTGATTGTGTGAGTGATTGTATGTGATTGTGTGTGTGGTTGTGTGTGTGTGTGATTATGTGTGTGATTGTGTGTGCGTGTCTGATTGTGTGTGTGTGTGGTTGTGTGTGTGTGTGATTGTGTGTGATTGTGTGTTTGTGTGGGTGTTTGTGTGTGTGTGTTTGCGTGTGTGTGTGTGTGTGTGTGAGTGTGTGTGATTGTGTGTGTGATTGTGATTGATTGTGAGTGATTGTGAGTGATTGTGTGTGATTGTGTGAGTGATTGTATGTGATTGTGTGTGTGGTTGTGTGTGTGTGTTTGTGTGTGTGTGTGTTTGTGTGGGTGTTTGTGTGTGTGTTTGCGTGTGTGTGTGTGTGAGAGTGTGTGTGATTGT